CAAAGCCATATCCCCGCCAATGTCCCCACCCATGTCACCGCCCATGAGCGACCTGGAATCGGACGACGGCTATGCCTATGACCTTAGCGACCCATGGCATCCCTCGGATGCGCAAGGCGGAGCAGTTCAGTCCGTTCAGCATGTGCCTATGCAAAAGGCACAGGTTGTTCCCATGGCCTACCAGCCGGTACCGCATACTGATGCTGCCATACCGAGAGGCAGCAGCTTGAAGGGAAAGGAACCGGCGGGTTCACGGAAATCTGGCAGCTACAGCGATCGGAGTATGCTGCCTTCGCAGAACATGCCCAGGAAGCCCGTAGCCAACCCTGCGGGACTTGGCCTGGTAGGTGTCCGCGATACTTCGACACCCTCTGATGTATCTCGTTCCGAGAGCAAGAGGGGCCAGGGGAAAAGAGACAGCCGAGGATTCATGGCTGCACAGATGGAAATGCAGCAAAATGACATCGACTACAAAGGATCACCACGAGAGAACGATACTCAGCAACTGCCACGCAAGATCCCTCCCGTTCCCCAGACCGTTCAAATACCGCCCATCCCGCCTGTCCCTCAGACCAATCGCAAGAGCGTCATGTTCTCCGAATCCGAGTCGGACCTAGAGCAGCACGATCCTGAGAAGAAACATCGCTACTCCCGCCATCACAGCGAGCCGGAAAGGACCTACACACCCGCTCCTATGCTCGAGGAATGGAGAAGTGCACCGATCGGTCTCCTTACTGCAGATGATCTAGATCTAGACGCTCCAGCCAAAGCCAATAGCGGCAACAAAGCATGGTGGGAAGAGAGCAAGGCCTCTCGACGAAGACGTTCAGGCGGATACGCTGAGCCAACTTACGATGGCTATGCCGACGATGCCCCCACACATACTGCTTTCAATCCACCACTATACCTCAAGTGTGGACCGCTCCTACGCTACACCGGTCTTCGGAGAGATCGCAGCGTTCCCGGACGTGAGCGTGAAATCTGGAGAGGCAGTATCATGATTGTTACTGTTGACGCCTCTTCTTCGTATGCCAAGCCGCCGACGTTGCGATTGTTCAAGCAGCCAATGGACATACTTCCGCCTCCGCCGGAGGAAATTAGCCAGGACCAGCTGGACCCATCCTACGTCGATCCCATCGAAGGCCAAGTCAAAGTATCGCGTACTGGTGAGGCGCTATACGTCAAGCCGGTTGACGAACTCGCAGAGGACGAGGACCTATCGCGCATTGAAGACGACACCGGTTTGTTCTCCACGACTCGCAGCACAACGAACGGATCGGGTTCTAAGTCAACCCGCATTCACAAGAAGGACGGCGAGAAGCTTGGCAAAGTCCGTGATTTCCCCGGTATACGCCTATATGCTGAGCGAGGCGTGACCTTCTGGCGCTTCAACATCGAAGTCGAACTTGGCAGTACTCAGACACGCATTGCCTACAAGATCAACCAAGGCCCTGCCATCGGATTTTGGGTCCCAGCCAAGGGAGAGTCTATGAACATTATGTTTCACAGCTGCAACGGCTTCTCAGCCACTGTCGAAGCGAATGAGTTCTGTGGTCCAGACCCGATGTGGCGCGATGTACTGAACACGCACCAAACCCGCCCATTCCATGTGATGATCGGTGGAGGTGATCAGATTTACAACGACGCTGTAATGAGGCAAACTACTCTGTTCAGACAATGGACGGAAAACAGAAATCCCATGCACAAGCACCATCAGACTTTCTCTGAAGAGATGCAGAACGAGCTGGAGCAGTTCTACCTCGATCGGTATGCAATGTGGTTCTCTCAGGGTTTGTTTGGCATGGCCAACTCACAGATCCCAATGGTCAACATCTGGGATGACCACGACATTATTGACGGCTTCGGATCATACCCTCATCACTTTATGCAAACGCCAGTATTCACCGGTGTTGGTGCCGTTGCTTTCAAGTACTACATGCTCTTCCAACATCAGTCTGTACCCGCCGAAACCGACAAGACCGAACCGTCATGGGTACTTGGAAAGAGCCCTGGCCCGTATATCAAGGAGCGCTCTCGAAGCGTCTTCATGCAACTCGGTCGTCAGGTAGCCTTCCTCGGTCTTGACTGCCGTACAGAGCGACAGCGTGACGAAATTCTTACCGAAGACTCCTACGACATTATCTTCGATCGTCTGGAAGATGAGATTATCAAGGGTGAGACTAAGCACTTGATTGTGCTGCTTGGAGTACCCATTGCCTACCCTCGCCTGAACTTCCTCGAGAACATCCTCACAAGCAGGCTTATGGACCCTCTAAAGGCTCTCGGCCGCGCAGGAATGCTGGGCAACTTTGTCAACAAGTTCGATGGAGGTGTCGAGATCCTGGATGACCTAGACGATCATTGGACAGCCAAACACCACAAAGAAGAGCGCAACTGGTTCATCAAAGAGCTGCAACACATTGCTTCGACAAAATCTGTGCGCGTTACCATACTCGGTGGTGACGTGCATCTGGCGGCGGTCGGACAGTTCTACAGCAACAAGAAGCTGAACATTCCCAAGGACAAGGATCACAGATACATGCCGAATGTTGTGTCTTCCGCTATTGTCAACACACCGCCTCCGGACGTGATGGCAGACATCATCAACAAGCGCAACAAGATACACCATCTCGATTCTGAAACAGATGAAGACATGATCCCCCTCTTCACTCACGGCGTCGACGGCAAGAAGAGGAACAACACACATTTGCTACCCCACCGAAACTGGTGTAGCATTCGAGAGTACAAGCCAGGATCTTCACCATCAGAAACACCATCGCCACCCACGACCCCTGCGAACGGGCCGCGCATGGGAAGAACGATGTCAGACTTCGCGCCAGGGCAGCTGGTGAGAAGACTCAGTGGCCAACAGAGAAGACCTTCAGGAAGAGGCCGCGGACCACCTGTGTCTTATCGCAACAACCCTTCGTATGCCGCCGCCGATGAAGTTCAGATTGGGCACCATCAACCACAGTCTTCGTTCTCGCCCGATCGATCAGAACCTGAGAGACCCACTCGTTCGCGACGCAATTCTCTGACATCAATCTTCCGTCGCCGCGCGTCAGTAGATGTCGCCCGTCCTGATACGTCTGAGACTGCAACGCCTCCCCTAAGCCGGCACAGTGTGTCGCAAGATCGACCGTCTACCTTCCATCGCCGACCCAGCGTACTGACTAAAAAGACTGAGCGGCACCACGGCCCATATGTCAACCTTGAGGGTGGTCTTGACATATGTCTCAACGTCGAGGTATCACAGCACGACCCGGCCGGTATCACAATGCCTTACAGACTACTCGTGCCAGCGCTTACTTACGTCGAGCCTGAGGAGGGCGTCGTCGAGAAAGAAAGGGGTAGATCCCGTGGTTTCTTTGGCTCTTTCGGTGGCAAGCGCAAAGCGACGATCGGCGATGATGGGAATTCCATCTCGGGCAGCGAAAGCGGAAGTGAGCTTGGGGAGATGTCCAGTGAAGAGGAAGAAGAGCGCACGCAGCAAAGGTACAAGGTCGGACCTCGGATAGTCATGCCGAGTATGGGGTCTCAGAACAGGCGTGGCTCTGAGCCTGCCCCTGTCGCTGCCCCTGTCACTGCCATTGGCCCTGCAGCCCCCGTTCCCACTGCCCGAGAGAATCGTCTTAGTTCAGGCTTCCATGCTAACGCAGCTGCAACTGTAGCTCCGAACCAAACGAACGGAATTCCCCGCGATCTCGTTCCAGAAAGTCAAGGACGACGAAGCTTGGATGCAGCTGCGGGTACCTCGTCCAGAGCTGCTGCCTGGGACAATGTGGCCGCGAAAAGGCACGTCAGCATGCCGGTCGCTCCTCCCGCTACCCAGACTGCGACCCAAGCGACAGCGATGCCATCCCGCTCCGCCTCCACGCGCAAGCAGCCTACCTATAACTCGTCTCACAAGTCGCAACTCCCTGCGCCTTCGCCAGAGATAGAACCCAAAGTGCAGCGAAGATCCATGGGTGGTATCTTGAACCAGCACTCGCACGACAAGAAATGGGAGCATGATGCCCATGTGGCCGCTCATACACCTGCACAAACGCAAAGGAAGGCGAAGCGGGAATCATACCCACCGCATCCAGCGATCGTCGGCGCCGGACCAAACTCGCCCTACTCGCGAGACGGACAAGGCCTCCAAGCACGACAAGACACAGCCGGCGGCGACTACTTCTCCAGCGGCGGCCGAGACGGAAAGACCCATCCTGCCACAGCACCCCGCCAAGTCGTCGACCCAGAGTACACCGAGAAACCAGTCCAACGTGCTGACTACGCCGCACAACCACAACGAGGCGGTTACGACCGCACCTCTTCCTACCCAGCCTACCCCCAACGCAACGGCACTGCAGGAGTAGGCGCAAAGTACCTTGGCGGAGGCAGGTACGAGGACGAGGATGAAGATAGCTTCGATAGCGCTGATGACGATGAGGCTAGTCTCAGTGGACAGGAGCAGGAGATGAGCCAGGATAGCTTCGTGGTGCCGAAGCGTAAGAAGAAGTGGCAGATTTGGAAGTAATGGGTGAAGAGGGATTGCATTGGTAATGAGATTACGATTTGGGTACATGACTGGTTCGGGCTTCTTGCCCAGGGTACATAATGACGGCGCAGCGTATACCATGGTGTGTTTAGCGTGTTTTTAGAATAGCGACGTCCTTTTCTCTTCTCAATCCAATTTCTAATACTCTGTTCGTATTCTCTTCGGTGTCATGTGCGTCGATGGAAAAGCTGGAATTACGACTTGTCATCGGCAAGCTGATGTTTCGATTGGTCGTCGATGAGGATGAACCAAGGTTCCGACATCTCATCCATAGTACACTTAGGCGGAAGTATGTGCGAGCCTGGTATAATACGATACGGATCCCAGCGACATTCGCACAATCAACAATACGCCTGCCGACTACATCAACTCCTCCCACCTCCTTTTTCGCCGATAAGTCGCATTGTATCCTCCAGCCTTCGTACCAACACAAGAAACAGCCTCACCAACATCACGCGCCATGTCTCTGAACTCCCAACCTAAAATCCGCTTCACCCCCAAGATGCTCAATCAGAAAGCGAAGAAAGCCCAACCCACGCAAGAAATGTTAGATCTCGGCATACAAAACTCTTCAGATTCGGCCTTCTTCAACTTACCAGGCGATATCCGCAAGCGCATTTACGAATTTGCGTTCACTACGGGTGAGGTTATCCAACTCCTACCTCTTGATGCGGATCTCGAAGGGGCAGCCATTACTGAAGCAGAGGTTGATGAGACGATGGAGATGGACGTGGATATCGAAGATATGATGATGGGTCTCGAAATCAACGATACTTCCCATTCCGATGACACGAAGCCCCAAACGCGAAACCCCTTCGCCGCAATCCTCGCATCCCGACAATTCTACTTGGAAACACACCTTCTGCCCTTCTGCCACAACACCATCTACTGCGCCAACATAGGGGACCTCGCTACAATTCTTTGCCGGCTGTCACCCGCCCAAGCATCCTCCATCCGCTCGCTGAAGATCCAGTGGGCGACCGCGCTGCTAGCAGTGCAGGAGTACATGGATTTATCTTGGGCATCTGGGATGGATCCAGAATCGGTCAGATCAGCACTGCAAATGCTGGACAAACTGGAGGAAGTAGTCGTGGACTGGGCGGGGAAGAGGCGCATCTTTCTTAATAAGAAGAGGGTGGAGGAGGCGTTGAATGCGTTGTGTGGGAGGAAGATTAGTGTTTCGTTTGAAAGGGGCGGGGAAGAGTATCAAGAGGTTGTGCAGCGTGTGGGAACGGTACAGCAGAGGAAACGAATGGAGCGAGCGGACACGGCGATGGAGTGGTCGGCGCGCGCTTGGGATGCATGAGGGGGAGAGGGAGGTGCGCGGGAGGGTGGAGATAGAGAGTAGAGAACATTGTGCTCATGCACTCTGACATGATAACCATGTTTGCAGTTGTTTGCCTGACGACCTGTGTTCCTACTTTGCCATAGCATTACATGTACATGTTGCTATGCGTTTCATACATGTTGCTCTTTCTTAAAACCTTAGAATGCATAGCAATGTTGACAGAGAGTAGGGCGAGTGTGAAGTAGCAGCTGTTAGCTCAACTCTTATATTTAGTAGTATAATGCTCTTCGCATGCTCAGCATATGTATGCGCTTTCCTTTCCATTTCGCAACAGGTATTTAGAAGTGTAGAGATTAGTATTACGCAAGGGTAGCCCCGCCACCAAAAGATGAGGCCCGGCCCGCGAGCACAAGGAGTCTGCAAAAACAGCAAAAAAAGGTGAGAGATCACTAGTCCTGGTGGGGCTGGAAGAACTGTTAGTAAAGGAAATCGAATCACGGTTGTCCGAAAATCACGTACTTCGAACCCACGGCATCCGCATAACCTGAGATGAGGTCATAAGAGTCTGACGAATCTTATAAGAACGGCGCGCTACCACTGCGCCACAGGACTTTGTTGTCCCTGGACTTGTTTTTGGACATTTTTCAAAATGGAAAGCTTATAGCCTAAATGTGGGAATGAAAGAATGTTGAATGTAGCCGGTACCCATCGATCGGTATCGTTGTACATCGCACAGATATCATAGGCGGGGCAATGCAAACGTCGGTGAGTGATGACACAAAGAACGCCGCTAGCCGGTGGGGTGGCTGGTGCCCGCCCGCGTGAGGGGATCGGCCAACCACATCCGCTTAGTTGGACCGTGATACATCTACCACGGTGCTCCCTTCCGCGTTCCTTGCTTCACAATCATCGCAATCACGCACCTGTCGGTTACATTCGTTACTCATATCCCGAGAGAAGTCATCCATTGAGTAAGTCATGATTCCAATCCTTCGTCGATCCGTAGACACCCTTCTATCCACGTGGCGGGTGTCTGAGGTCGTTGCTTCTTTGGGTGTTTGTTGCTCTACAACAGCAGGCATTGCCCAAGAGCAAGACCTGCATGCACTCTCCATTCAATGATCTGCTTTATGATCTGATGATTTTGTTCATCCTAGCATCTCAAAGTTGGCTCTACTACATGCGTGATATCCGCACAACTACATCTACACCGCTTCCGAGCGTCTCCAACACGGAACGATCATACATCTCAACACAATGGTTTAGAACCTAAATATGAGAAATAATCCATTCTGAGCACCCGACTGACATATCACAAAGGTACCTTCTCTTGAGGCCCAAACCAGTATGACGATCAGAGCCTCCAAATTCACACCCGAGGTGCTACTCGAAGCGCCACGCCGTTCCGGAGGTGTTCCAAACTCTGATGCATCAAAAGTCGTATACGCGGTTTCGACATACAGCTTTGCTGAACATTCGAAGAAATCCGAGATTCGTGTTCTGGATGCCGCAAGCCAGCAGACCAGTCTTGTAACGGATGATGCATCCTTCAGCGAGCCTTCATGGCTTGACGATGAGACTGTATTATTGCTAAAGTCGAATGATGATGGCACCACGAAGATGGTTGTTGGCTCTCCATACAACTTCGAGAAGACGTAGGTTCAGTACTCCCAACACGAGTGTGCGACTGCTAAATGACTCTCAGCAAACATACTGCTGTACATATCGACGGCCCAGTAAGCGACGCCAAGATTTATGCCCTCGGTGATGACACTTTCGGTTTCGCTGTGGTCGGTAAGGCGAAGCCAGATGGTACGCTGCTCAACCCCGAACTGGCCGAGAAGCCACATTCCTCAGGCAAGCTTTACAAGTCCGGATTTGTTCGTCACTGGGATCATTACGTGACGGAGAACCGGAACGCGATCTGGCTTGGCAAGTTCATCTTGAAGAAGTCGGAGAAGTCCCAAGATACAGGTGCCAACCCTGGGTATCCGCTGATAAATGCGCTAAAAGGAACGGAGTTGGAGTCGCCGATCGAGCCTTTTGGTGGAAAGGATCATTTCGACATATCCAAGTATGGCCTGGTCTTCACAGCAAAAGACCCTGGCCTGAACCCTGCGACACACACGAAGACCAACATCTACGTTTCCGCGTCTGAAACATTCTGGGCTGACCTCCACTTTAAAGACCAGCCACAAATCCAGAATGTATCCATCGAAGGCTTCGAGGGTGCCAGCACATCTCCTGTCTGGTCGAACTCGCGCGGCATGATCGCTTTCCTCTCCATGAAGACTGATGGCTACGAGTCAGACAAGAACCAGCCCTTCATTATCCACGATTACAAGAAACCTTCAGAGGTCACCCTGCTCTATGGATCTGAAGACGGCAAGGGTAAATGGGACCGAAGCCCACAGTCAATATCTTGGAGCCCTGACGACTGGCGCCTTTACTTCACTGCTGAGTCACATGGGCGTGGAAATCTGTACAGCGCCGGACCCCCTAAGCCTGGCGGGGAGAAGGAGCCTCTGCCATCACTACTAGTGAAGGGTGGGACCATCGGCTCAGTACAGGTACTCAAGAATGGCGATCTTTTCTTGGCTTCCACCAGCTTGATCGAGAACTCCCTCTACTCACTGGTCCCACTGAGCGCACAAAACAAAGACACTGCCGTCTACGATCTTCCCATCGACGATCGGCCATACGACTCCGATCCTGATCATCTGACAACCAAGTACATCTCTTCAAACACTCGCTCTGGGTCCATGCTTGGTCTGTCGCGCCACCAGATCGATGAAATTCATTGGGATGGCGCTGCATCCGGTACCAAGGTCCACGCCTGGGTTATAAAGCCCAGCAACTTTTCGTCCAGCAAAACATACCCCCTCGCTTACCTCATTCACGGTGGACCTCAGGGTGCATGGACGGATGGATGGAGTACGCGTTGGAACCCTGCAGTATTCGCAGAGCAAGGCTACGTTGTCATTTGCCCAAATCCTACAGGAAGTACGTGAACCTCGTACCACAAACTGTATAGTAGATACATACTGACATCATTTCTAGGCACATCCTACGGACAAGCTTTCACAGATGCGATCCAAGGCCAGTGGGGCGGTCTGCCGTATGAAGACCTCGTGTTGGGCTTCGACTACATAAAGCAGAATGTCAGCTACGTCGACACGAAGCGAGCCGTTGCCCTCGGCGCCTCCTATGGCGGATACATGATGAACTGGATCCAAGGACACCCTCTTGGCCGCGAATTCAAAGCCCTAGTGACCCACGACGGCGTCTTCAGCATGTCCGGCCAGATGGCGTCTGAGGAGTTGTACTTCCCCTTCCACGACATCAAGGGAACGCTTTGGAATAACCCCGAGAATTGGGCCAAGTGGGACCCGTCAAGGTTTACGGAGAACTGGGCCACGCCTCAGTTGGTCATACACTCTGAACTGGATTATAGGCTCACCATCAGTGAGGGACTGGCAGCGTTCAATGTGCTGCAGTGTAAAGGAATTGAGAGTCAGTTCTTGACGTTCCCGGATGAGAACCACTGGGTGCTGAAACCGGAGAATGGGCTCATGTGGCATACGGTCGTGTTGGATTGGATCAATAAGCATGTGGGATTGAAGACGTACACTGAGGCTCGGAAGGCGGGAACCATCGACTAGTATTTCGGTAGTGAGCTTTTGCCATATAGCACGTCCCTATGCACTGATTGGGCTCGACATTGCCATGTGTGTGATTTCGTTGTCTTGACTCTGAACGACATATGAAGCCTGTACGATGATAAATCTTGTCACTGAATCTCTCGTTATTAGTGGCTAATCCAGTTGAGAGTGGAATAATAAGCAGATGAAAATAAATGCATGGATTCGAAGTTTTGGTTCAAGTCAAGACGCGCTCGCATTGTAGCGCGTAGGTAGCGTGAGGCTGCTCTTATCGATAAGGATCCTAGATTATTTTCTCGGGCATCGCGACGGCTCGAACTTTTCCTTAGCACGCAGCTCGTCACCCACCACACCAAGGGCAACAGGATTCACCGCCCTCCAATCTAAACGAAACTCTTCCGCGACCCGAACTCAGCCGATAGATCGCGTGCGCCACCCCAACCACACCCGCTATCGAACTAGAGGCGGCGACGCCTGCGGAGCTCTCAAGATGCCGAAGAAAGCCATCGACTCCCGTATACCGGCCCTGATCCGCAATGGCGCCCAGGAAAAGAAGCGCAGCTTCTTCGTAGTGGTCGGCGATCGCCAAAAGGACGTCATTGTCAACCTCTACCACATCCTGCTGAACGTGGACGTCAAGTTGAACAAGTCGGTGCTGTGGGCATACAAGAACAAGCTGCTGGGATTCTCAAGTCACCGCAAGAAGCGCGAGAAGAAGATCAAGAACGAACTCAAGCGCGGCATCCGCGATGTCGACACCGAAGACCCGTTCGAACTATTCGTCTCGACGCAGAACATCCGATATGTCTACTACAAGGAAACCGACAAGATTCTGGGTAACACATACGGCATGTGTATCCTGCAGGATTTCGAAGCGCTTACGCCGAACCTACTCGCGAGGACAATCGAGACGGTCGAAGGTGGAGGATTGGTCATATTGCTGCTCAAGGGCATGAGCAGCTTGAAGCAGCTGTACACAATGTCCATGGACATCCACTCGAGGTATCGGACAGAGGCACATAGCGACGTGGTAGCGCGCTTTAACGAGCGCTTCCTGCTGTCACTCGGGAAATGCGACAGCTGTTTGGTCGTCGACGATGAGCTGAACGTGCTCCCCATTTCAGGCGGAAAGCATGTCAAGCAGCTGCCTCCACCAGACCTAGAGCTGGAAGGCAAGACACCTAAGGCGAAAGAGCTGGCAGAGATCAAGGAATCTTTGGCAGACTCGCCTCCTACCGGAGATCTTGTCAAGCTTGCGAAGACCGTAGACCAGGCCAAGGCTCTTCTGACATTCGTGGAGGCCATCGTCGAGAAGACGCTTCGCAGCACGGTTACCCTCACCGCAGCTCGTGGACG